GCTCTTTCTTTAGCAAGAGCACATTTCTGCAGCACTGGAGTAATTGCAACCCTACTGTGAAAATTAGAAACTTTCTCACAAGGCACAAAAAGGCCTTGGAAATTGTAACCATTCAAGAAATCACTGGGTCTCTATTTCTGTTAAATATTTAGGAATATAAGCAAATATATTCTTTAGGTAATATAAACATGAAAAAATTAATATAATCTCTAATATTTGCAAATATTGCTCAGACTGAATTTAAGTTTCCCATCAGGGTTTTTTTTTGCAAACAGTTTTATAGTATCAAGGTTTATAGTTTGGGCACAACAGTTATGGTATGCTAGGAATCACTTGGAGGCTTTTCCCAAAAAGTTACATGAGTACAAAATCAAACCCCAAGTCTCTGAAATTTATGAGATTCAACTAAATTGAAGTTTCTATACACTTTTGTGGATCTGAACACTGGTGGCTGGCTTCATCTCCTGCAGTTTTAGCAAGCTAAACTTTAGAAATAAAAGTTACTCATTCAGAGCTTGCTCAGAAGTGAGAGAGTATTTTTTCATGCAGCCTGGGGATGGAGAGATGAGTGTTCTTACAGGAGCAACTGCCTCTTTTCCTTGATTACTGAGAGATTTATGATTTCTTTGCCCAGAGAGGTTGTGGCTGCCCCATCCTTGGAAATGTTCAAGGACAGCTTGGAGGGACTCTGAGCAACCTCGTCTAATGGAAGGTGTCCCTTCCCATGGTAGGGGGTTGGAATTGGATGAATTTTAAAGTCCCTTCCAATTCAAACCATTCTATGATTCTATCATCCCAAATTTTTAATTTTAGTTAGAAAAAAAAAAAAAACAAACAAAAAAAACAAATAAAAGCCCTAAGGGTATGTCCTAGAATCTTACAGGTCAATATTTAACAAAGTGTTTGGGTCTCTCAAGTGAAAGAAAAGAGATCCTCAAAGGGACAGGATGTAACACAGTTAAACTCTGGTACTTGCAGATGTGCCAGCTAAATCTGAGGAATCCAGTTGTGACTTTAAATTGTATCTCTAGAGTTAATAACCTTGACCTGATTCCTATATGCTTTGATATAAGAAAGGTAATGGAATTATAGTGACTTGAATTTTGTCAGATCAAAATTAAGACTCCAGATATTTATTAAATGATTCAAAAAGATTCATGTTAAAAATAACTAGTGGAGAAAGCAATAATCTTGAAACAAGGTCCTGAAAATAAGCAAATGTGACCTGTGTGTACATATTAGTATAATTTTATGCTCCATTTCCAACATGAATATTACAATAATATTTCACACAAATCATAGGTCAATTTTCACAGAGATGCTACCCTAAAGGTGCATGAAATTACATTAGGAGGTGCAACTCACATCATACTTGGCAATAACAATTGAACAGAAAAGTAATGTTTCAGTAACCTCACAGCTTTGAAAGCAACGGTGGGTTTCACGGTGTAAAACGAATGTTCCACCAGAATGCACCAGCTGTAATTAAAATGGTTTGCATTGTTCCTCACTCTATGAAACCTTCTATGAATGATAACACAGGCACCTGCCTTACCAGAGCTTAGGTAGTTTTGTTATATTTTAATTTTCTAAAAAATACACGTGCCAAAACACTTCTTTCTTTGCTATTCCCCACAGCCTTGTAGCTTTTTCTCATCAGTGTAAAAACTTGAAGACAGTTGCAGTTCATTCGTTTTCTTGAGGCTTGACTGTGTTATCTGGCCAAAAAAACAAAACCAGGAAGTCCAGGTCAGGCCAAATTCCTAGATTGCTGGCTCATGGAACGGACAGTCAGTGCTCCTTCCAATGCCCAGATTTACCTGGCTTAAATCCCTGTACTCAATGCTTCTTATCAGGTGCCACCAGGATTCCAGATGGGTTTAATTAGTGAGAAACATTAGTCCCAAGGACTGAGATAGAATTAAGACTGGATGACTTTTGGCTTGGTTTCTTTGATTTTTTTTAACCCAAAGTACATATTTCTGGGCAGCTGATCTATACCAAAACTTTTTATGTTCCTTTTGTCAAGACAATTTTCCTTCACAGTTCATTGATGCTTGGTAACTGCCATAAAGAGCAGATACCACCAAATTCTCTCCCTGTCGTAGATTTATCCTTATATTTGTCTGTCTACTGTGTTCCAACTTAACTACAAAGGTCTGTATAATTAAGGTCTATATAATCAGCAGAAGCCAGTGAATAAAGAAGGTGAAATTCTTGTCTTTGGGACTTAATAGCTGTTAGAATTTTTCTCAGTCTCTATGTGACTCAATTTATTTACCTAATAAAAATCTAAAATTTTAAGACATAACTCCTCACATCCTTCAGAGGGTAATTTGAACAAAATTCAAATATGACAATACAAAATGAGCAATTATCCTCACCTACATGAAATAAGAAATGAAAATGTAATTTTGTTAAAAAAGTAATTGCCTGATGTAAACAGACTTCTTAGCAAATACCTCCCCACACCCTAATTTTGTGTTTCAGAAAACTGGCATGCAAACCATAAGAAAGTCTGACTAAGAGATTTAATGGCCTCAGACATTTCACATGAAATGTATATTCATTCACATTAATGTAATTAATTGTTATTTAAATGCTGTCAACCAGAATGTGGATTTTCAAATGGCACCATTCTCCCCTTCTATCCCAGCAGTGCTAGCATTACAAATTTAGAGAAAAAACAACTAATGAAATGTTTTTTATCAATTTCAAGAACATGGGAGGTGTGATTTATATGCACCTTTATAATCTTAGCTCAACTGAAATCAATTTTTAGTTCACTGTGTAGGTCAACTCTGAATTGTGATTACATGAATCACCATCATGAAATGTTGTAGACAGAAAGGGATGTTCTTAGAAAAGTGAGTCTTTTCATAGGCTGCTACTTCAATTTCCTATGAAGAAATTATATGCAAACATTTTCTCCAGGTCTCTTTAAGAAGCAAGTGTTGTCAATCTTTATTCCTTCAGATGTGGAAAACAATAGTTTTCTACTAAGTGTTATGTAGGTGACTGGTAAAAGACCATGAATGCAGGAATTCATGCATCAGTATTTGAAACTTCATTAACATCTTTCCTCCTCCATAAAACAGATGCACCTTTTCACAGCAAACCGTGCAACAGTCAGATGCATCACTATAAAAAATGTTACATGCATTTTGTGTCACTGGCTTTGGGGAAATCCTTGGATTACTGAAATAAATGTCTTTTTCTTTCTCATTAGTTTTATGAAACAAGCACCAGTATGTTTCACATTTGTCTTTATGTTCAGTGCTTTCTAAAACAATGCCTGGTTCCTTTGCCCTATAATAAAAAAAAAACCTACAAATGGATTTTTTCTTTTTATTTTCCTATTCAACAGATACCTTAAAGACCGCGATAGTCACTTCATATAAGATATAATACCCATGCTCATAACAAATACAAGTATGAAGCAAACTCTTCACTACATACCCAAGCATAGTTCACTTTCATTTCAATATATAAGAGAACAAAATAGAATTTGACAGGTCATCTACTCCTTCATCTGCACCACAGATGAATAATTTTTACCTTTTTTTTCTCAACAGATGTTTACAGATGTTTTGTTTGTCACAGGCCAATTAGTGACACATTCCACAGCCTGGGAGTTTCTGTCAGACCTGTTTTTTCTCATTTAATGAAGATGTAGAACAACCTCTGGACAATATTGCTGTCCTAGTAGCTCAATGCAATGCAGAACAGAAGTGGAACACTTGCTCATGGTTGGATCCACGGACATCCTGGAAGCACTCTTCTTTGTATGGATGTGAATTTTCTCTCGCAGGAGAAGTTGTTGTTGCTCCAGAGTAGGTCATAAAACTAGAAATCTGGACCTCATAATTGCCAAGGTTAAGTAGTTCATCTTCTAGTGATAGACAAATAAGAGAACTCTTCATTCTGACTTGTGATACATTTAATCAGTAATATTCTCTTTTTTTTATTTACACAGAGGTGTTGTGGATGCCCCATCCCTGGCAGTGTTCAAGGTCAGGTTGGATGGGGCTCTAAGCAACCTGGTCTAATGAAAGGTGTCCCTGCCAAAGCCAAAGGGTTGGAAAGAGATGATATTTAAGGTCCTTTCAAACCCAGGCAACTCTATGATTGTCTTCTTCTAAGTACAACTACATTTTTTTAAATACAGGTAACTGAAAGTTTTGATGAGCATTCCTCAACTTTTTTTTCTTACACTGAAAACCTGATTTATTTTTCCCATCATCTTTTTATTAAAATATATATTCAAAAATCTTTGTGGATGATGATCTGGGACATTCATACAAAGACACTGATACAGATGTCTAAGAAATAAAGTACGCAATCATCTCTGCAAGAAGAAATATATGCTTGAATTATCTAAAATCAAGGGTTGGTTTAAAAAAAACAAAAAAAAGACAAGTTTGAAAACGGGGCTTCTAAGAAGTGAAGAATGGTTTGGGTTGGAATGAATCATAAAGAACACCTTGCTCTAAGACTGTATAAAAACTATCTGATTATATTTTCTAGTATGTGTAAGCCCCTAACTAACCATGCAAGGTCTGAGAATTATTCTTCTCTAGAAGACATAAAATTGCATATTAATTCACCAATATTCAAAGACAAAAAAGGTACTCCAAAAAATATTTTAACAGAAAACGGTGGAACAAAAGCTACATAAAGGAGAAGGGAGCCCCCAAGATTTGGAAATGCTCATGCTCCAAAGGAATGCTCAAAGTCCAAAGGTCTGCAAAAACTCCGACTAGTTGAGAAGTAAATTTCATCCTTGGCATGGACGGTGGTCTGTTAGTGCCTGAGCTAATGGAGAAGCACACAGCAGGGGGCTTTGGAAAAAGGGCTCGGGTGCAAGGGAAGAGAGAAGGTAAGGGACGAATTCACGAGGTGAGGGAGAGAAAGAGAGAAAGAAGAGAGACGACTCCCCAGGCAGCCCCAGCCCCAGCCCGGCAGTACGAGAAACAGAAAAGGCCTTGACACTGGGCAAGCTCTGCTCAACCTTTCTCTTTATTTTCAAGTTGGAAGCAGAAAGGGAGCAAAATACAACCCCCTGTGGAGGAGATGCAGAAGATGGAAGCCTATCCTATCTACCTTAGCCTAACTCTACCCCAGCCTAAACCCACCCTTGGGAAAACACTAGCTTAACATCTATCCCCCTACAAGCCTAAGGCCATCCTAAGCCTAACTCTACCCCAGCCTAAACCCACCCTTGGAAAATCTAACCCCATCCTTAATCTCTCCTACTCTACTCTTATCCTACTCTATCCTACTCTATCCTACTCTAACCCTAGCCCAGACTAAAGCAGCAGGTGGGAGAGCTGCAGGTGCCTATTCCAGCACCAGGAAGTTGCCTGGCCGGCCCTGCCGCAGTGCCAAGAGCAGCTCAGCGCAGAGCTGCACCGGGCAGGGGCCGGTCAGCAGGAGCCTGCAGGAGCGGGAGGAGGGCAGCAGCTGGAGCTGCCAGTCGTGCCACTGGGGCAAACGCTCCCAGGCTGCTTCCACCAAGCTCTGCACCCAGGCGGCGGTTTTCTCCACCTCCAAGTGGGAGTCTGTGCAGAGGGTGCGTAGCAGGCGCGAGGGCTGAGCGTCGTGCGTGGGGTGGACAAAGCACGACGTCTCCCCCGTGGTGCTGGAGCACGAGCACTCCAGCACCACCCGG